CATTGCTGTGTGGTTCTTTGGAGAGGTGTTGATTGGGGCGTGTTGGTTGAAAGTGCCGCCCTGCATGTTGCAGCCAGTTCACTTTGGATCGGGCGGATTTTGGGGGTTGTTTTCTTGCTCTGTTGTTGATGGGTTCGTCTTTGCCCGACCGACCGTGCCCGGTTTTGGGTTGAATAAATTGGGTTGGGTCGGGTTGGATTGGGTCAGGTTGAGCTGGGTTCGGTCGGGGGGTTGGGTCGGGTTGGTTTTGGTTGGGGTTGGGTTGGGGTTGGGTCGTCGCCGTCGATCGCGCCGCCGTCGCTTCGTCGTCGCTTCGTCGTTCGTCGCCGTTGCGTTGGATTGGGTTGGGTTGGGTAGGGTTGGGTAGGGTTGGGTAGGGTTAGGTAGGGTTGGGTAGGGTTGGGTTGGGTCGGCCGGTCGGCCGGTTGGTCGGTCGATCGCGGCGCCGTCGCTCCGTCGATCGTCGCCGTCGATCGCCCTTGTTATTGTTTAGGAGTACACTGGTTGCTGTTGAAGAGCTCTCATTGGCCGCCCATGGACTGCCCATGAACTGCCCACGAAGTAGTGTGGGAGCCCACAGGGAGAAGGCAGCAGTGTCGTACACCGATGCGGCGTAACTTCGCTGTTCAACAAAGCAGCAGCGTCCGCGATTCTCCCTGTCAATAACCGCATACTCTTCTTGTGTATACAGCACATCACGCTAAATAGACCATAGCGCCCTCTGAATACCCCGGCACCCCCCTTGTCGAGGAGGTCAAAGGTGGACAAAGACATTTTTCGCGACCTAAAACAGGAGAACACGAATGGGGACAAACCGGCGTGGGTAACAGCAGCAGCAGTGTAGAAGCCCAGAAGATGTACAGTATGTAAAACTGCGGCGAAACTTCGTCATCTTCGCTTGTACAAAGTCCGATGGTGAGTGATTCTACGGCTGCTGTAGTTGAAAGTGGTGCGTTGGCTCAGTGGGGCCCAAACCCTCAACACAGCAGCAGTATGGATGTCGGTGATTCCTCTTCGTTGCCTTGCTCACCCGCGACGGAGAGCTCACCTCTGCCGGAGTGCGTACACACTACACTGCCTCCTCCGTTCAAGTACTGCAGAACGGCAACCGGCAACACATGACTTGCCGCAACAACCGACAAATCTTGTCCAGGCAAACCTAACAGCAGTAGCTCGGCGCAAGCATTGAATTCAGGTCGGGCACACCTGTTTGTTCCAGTCGAAGAGGTCCTCCTTGCCTGCTGGCGAGGCTGCGACAACACCGGGCGACAAGTCAGAGTCAACTGCTGACGACCCCTTTGCTGCGGAAGAAACCACCCTGACGTGAGCGCCGCTGCTGGCGGGTAGGTGGAAGCCACTAGCAACACTCAAGCCAGCAGCCAGGAGACAAGCGCACCAGCCAACCATGATATCAAGTGCAACTACCGTACTGCACAACCCGCAGGGCGACAACCCAGGTGTGTGTGCTTGCGTTGTCGACATGTCGACACATGCACCAATTTCCGCCGCATTTAGAACTGCGGCTCTCCTCCAATCAGCGACCGAGCAGTGTCCAGTCAGACTATTGAATTTGAACGGAACACTGAAAGACTGCGGTAATCAAGGGGGAGACACACCTTGCTAACGTCCGTTTCGCCCAAGCCTTTGCCCGAGCCATTGTATAGTGATGGGCGATTCTCTCATGGCCGATGAGACACACCGCGAACCAGCATTTATTATCCACACTTTGGTTCCAATAGCATACAGTGTAGGGTCTCGTCGGATCCAGCTGAAGAAGTCTGCGAAGGTGGCGGACGTCACAGAAACATGTCCATGAACACTCGACCTGTCTACAAATGCCCGCCCCTACTCAAAATCTGCAATATGTTTACATGTCAAACCTCTCAACGGGTGGCCGAGAGTCGTTGTTTTCGTCAGTCCGACGACGCACGTTGCCCATAAGCTAAACGCTACACCATTTACACTCTGTGTGCGTCAAGTACCACACTGTCGTACAGTACTCAAAACGTCCAACGAATGGATTCCAACCGGGTGGAATGAAACCAGGCGCAACCTGTAGGCTGTGGAGCTTCCGGATGGAGCTTCATCATGGTTCCCGGCATCGTTAGGGAGTTAATCACATACAGCGTTATATTTGGCCTGAACGCGGCCGGATCCGCGTGCCGCCCGAACACACTCCGAATGTTCACTCACATGATGACCACGGAGTGAGCGAGGCTAGGCGTTGAATGAGACAGAAGTTTCAATAGCACTCTACCCCCTCTTTCGACCACCCAGTATCCATCCACTGGACACGTCTTATGTCGCTGGATTGCAAACGTCGTGAAGTACAACATCCCTACCGCCCACTTCCATGAAACTCAATGAAGATGAAGATGAACTCATCCAGGCACTCATTTCACTCGCGCCGGATGTGAGCGAGCGGCTAGCAATGAACTCATGGAAAAACTCCCGCTTTTTCCCGTTACTTCACTCCTCTGCACGCAACTTCCGCAGAACACAGCTCACGACGTGTCACACCACTGAAGATCAATGCGACAGATTGGTCGTCCCACGCGTATGTATACGAGCTCTCTCGGGAAAATACGATACTGCATGAGGGGTATCGACAAACCTTACAGGAAAAGCGTTAACCACCACCTCCCGAAATTCGTATTGCAAACAGGGAACGCCCCATATGAGATTTGGTCGGTTCCGAATTCCCTACAACTCGGCGTGTCGCTGGTGTTCAACAGGTCGATTATCGCCGAATCTCGTTGTGCTGGTGCCTGTTTTCCAATGTCCTGCGTGTAGATAGCGCTTGGCTGCTCGCAGATCCCCCTTGAGCGCTGAAGTACTGTTTATTCCGGTAGGCATGTGAAATCGAGTGGGTTCGTGTCATTCCTGTAGAAAAAACAAAATGGAAATATTTCGTCGGTGGTGCATGTGCGCCATCGAGTGGCTTCTGATCTGTATGGTTGATTGTATACGAATTCATGTACATTTTCTAGAAATGGGTCACAATGTGCCATAGAGTTTATCATGTGTACGTGGGCAGACTGAAGAAACAACTGAGGTGTTTTTCATCCCCGATTGTCATCGTGAGAATGCGAGACGCGGAGCGTGAAACGAGGTGGGACGACCAAAAACCCGCGAGAACCGTTGACGATTGTGCCGTGTGTCGGTCCCGGAACGGCATGCTGTTCTGTTCATAAGCAGAGGCGCAAACTTATCAAGAAGAACCCTGTGGGCGGTTCACTCCATTTCATTCTATGTAGCTCTAGCTTTGATATCATTGCGCATTAAGAGCTGTAGACTAGCTGTACATGCGTGGGGATGTTGACAACGGGCTGCGGGAGACGATGCTACCTAGGCTGTGACCACTGTGTTTCGTGCCACAGTCTCCGGCTCCGTTACGATGGACACAAAATGATCCCCCGGTCATGATGGGACTGCGACAACATTCTGAGAAGATTCTGTAGATTTTCAAATAGTCCACGATGTTTAACCGACTGCTGATTTTGTGGCACGACCGCCTCGGGGGTACAATGAAATGTGCCACTAACCAGCGGCAACGTGAAAACGTCCTTGGGCGAAATACTTACTTGAGTATTCAACGTGTGTGGGACATCTCCCGCCACCTCTACCACCCGTTACTACGTCGCAATATAATAGCACCTCACGCTGGTGGCCAGTTCCGTACGATATGTTAACGGGAGTAGCATTACACACACGTCAACGATTCTCACCCCAAAGGCAAGTGAGCTCCTTCTGTCCCTCTCTCGCAGGGGTCCACTCGTACCCCCACAGAAACGTCTTACCCATACACACATCCCCCCGAGGGGACACGCAGCCCGAACTCGTATCCAATTGGCAAAGTACAACAAACAACCACAACTGAGTAGCATGTTTGGCGACTGCCTTCCTGTCGAGAATGTCCAGTTCAACGCAGATAGTCTATGCCACTTGAGCAAGCACCTGCGTTATGTACCAACCTGTGCTTACAGTTTCCACCCCTCTAAGCCCAGGGTAATGCTTGGCTGGGAAGCACTCAACCAAGCTGGCCAGACATGCTCCGAAATGAGGTCGCAAGTTCCTTCTACATTGTACATATCCGTCGTTGGAAGCATGCCAGTCCCCAAACGGTTTGTTCCACGCAGCGGTTTGAGGAAGTTGTTGGCGCCCACCCACCCCTCCATCTGTTGTACACATTACTCGCGGAGGACGAGCGGAAATTGCCTGCGTTCTAAGTTTCCATCCAATATTGCTCCCATGATGATAACGAAGGCCCCGCTGTCTGCCCGGCACCTCATGATAATCTATCAAATTGTTCTCAATTTCTTACAAGGTCTACCTGTAAGTCCACTCTCACCTCTTGCTACAATATGCTCTTGGCGTTCTAAAGTAATCCATTCGTGCCGTCTCGTCGACGGAAGTTGCCTTTATGCTGTGGCACTGTCCCGTGTTTCGGTGTTGGCATAAACTTTGCTAATCCATGCAGACACATCATCGTGTCCTTGTGCAGCGTATCGGCAATCGTATCTTGAGCAGGGACATCCCTTGTTTCTAGCCCATTGAAGGACCTCAAGGTGGCCGTTCCCTTCCGCTTCCTCGCACGTCCTCGCGTCTCAGGGGGATCCGTTGTATATTGCCCATTGAAAGGTGTCCGTTGTCCCGGGGACATCCGTTCTTTCTGGCCCATTGAAGAACCTCAAGATGTCTGTTCGAAGCCGCTACGTAGCACGTCGTTCCGTCCCAGGGGCATCCATCCTTTCTCGCCCACTCAAGAACCTCAAGGTGTCCGTTGCAAGCCGCTTGAGAGCACGTGCTCTCGTCCCAGGGGCATCCGTTGCTTCTCGCCCATTGAAGCACATACATCGAGATGTCCGCCGGAAACCGCTTCAGAGCACGTTGTCTCGTCCTGGGGGCATCCGTTGTTTCTTGTCCATTGAAGGCTCTCAAGGTGTCCGTTCTTATCCGCTTAAGAACACGTGGCCATGGTCCAGGCGCATCCGTTTGTTCTTACCCATTGAAGGACCTCAAGATGTCTGTTCGCAGCCGCTCGAGAGGATGTGTATCTTTGTTCCAGGGGCATCCGTGTTGTTTCTTGCCCACTTGAGGAACTTACGATTCTCGATCTTGGCTTCTTTCTGACACTACTTAGCATTTCTCACGTGGATACACCAACCCGAACAACTATGGATCGAAGAGTGGTGATGGACCAAACGTTAGTCAGATTATTGATCAACTGAAACATACATATCATATGGATAGATCTGAGCTGAAATAGGCCTTCTTTCCTACGAGTAAAATGTACCTCAATCTACGAATGGCTGTGTTGGCCACGATGCATAGGGCGACAGGGGAAAATCAGCGACCAGGCAGCCCTGTTTGTTTTAGCCAATGTGAAGTATTCTGCATCAGAACGCCTTTGAGGACGCTGCCCACGCGTCTTACCTTGAAGCAAGTAGCCCTGTTGCTTTCTCCGTTGCAGCCTCCTCGTGCCGCGCAATCGCATCGTCCGCCTCCAGCATGATACGTTGTACGCGAGCAGCGGTGCAACACGAGATATATGGTCGTTGACCAGAGTACACATATCGAGCTACCTGGCTATTTCTAAAGAGGCGATTTGGAGGAATCGAAGCTATTGAGGGGAGCGGAGCGCTGCTCGCCGCTTTCTGCGCTTCCCCCGCCCTCTCGACTGCTCCCTTCGAGGACGCGACTTCAACTCTCACGTATACCACTGTTGTCTCTGCGGGAGAGAGTTGTGCCGACTGACAAACAGGAGAGGCGGTTAGCGAGGGGGTGAGAGAAAGAGAGGGGGAGTTCGTAAGATAACGGAGGTAAACAGATCCTCGACGGGGTGCTGACACCGAAATCGAAACGAATGCCCCCGGGGCAAGTTGTTCAAAACCTTGCCTGAAAACGAGGCAAAAATGCCCAGGGGAGTCTCCTTGCCTATCGCCCGTCGAAAGTTGACTTTGGTTAGTGGTATGCTCAAGAAGGCGTGGAAACTGGATCTGATGCCAAAAGCGAGCACCCTGGTGCAGTAGGCGAAAGAGCACAGCCACGGCTAGGAAACTTCACATTCTGCACATCGAAGCCGCTGGTGTTTCGTTACCTCCAAGATGGGCTCGAGACGTCATCCGCTCTTTGACGGCATCCAGTATGTTGAGTAGCTTTGTGCGTGGGTGCCTCGGCGCGGGGTCCCGTAGTGGGAAACAAAAGGTGCCAGCAGCTGGGTACTGCCAACGGTCAAAATGTAGAAACTATCCGCGGGCGTGAAAGCCCTTCTACGTGGTGGAGCGTGGAAGCTCGTGTATAATATAGTTGTGGCGTGGAAGCCGGGTGGCGTGGTGGCCCTGATGTAAAGGTATATGTAGGGACGTGGGAGTCCTGAAGGCGTGGAAGCCGGGTTGGCGTGATAGCCGGAGTATGGGGCGTGGAAGCCGGGGTTGGCGTGAGAGCCGGAAAAAGGACTTGATTATACACAGAAAAAGGAAGTGAGGAACCACAAGCCACGCACACAAATTCCGTTGTAGACACCCATACCCTCAAACCTGCAATATGTGATAAAGTTGGTACCACCAAATCTAATCCATAGCAACCATTGAACCCCCAAACTCCCCGCTCCATCTGCTCGGGAAATTCTTGCTCGCAATAATCTGTTGATGCTGTGAGTACATCCAACAGCCCCCCTACTCGCTGCATTGGCAAGATTACACCCGGACTCATTTAACTACCTTACACATGCATACCCTCTTGTACCAAATACCTGAACGCAAGGCTTAGTGATTAACATTCCATCCATCTCATGCTTCGTCTTCGCCAAAACACCATGACCATTAAACCCGAAACAAAACTCGTTAGAACTCCAACCGGTTTGAAACTCTTCTCCTAACCATTAAACCAGAAACACTGCAGAGATTATCCATCGGTCACCCTGGAATTCAACATCGTAGAAAATCCTCAGAAATAGCAATTCAAATAGAATCGCACAAACGCAAAAAAACAAAACAAAAATAAAGACTCCAGGACTGCTCATTTAGAATTTCAATCGGATAGAAAGTATTCCCAACCAACCATTAAAACAGAAATACCAAATATAATGTCCATCGGCCATTCTTGAATTCAAACTCGTAGAAAATCAACTCCTCATATACTCAAATCGAAAGAATCACACAAACAAAAACACAACACAAAAAACTCCGGGACTGCTCAATTTAAGTTCATCACGTAGTCCCTGTGGAACACAAAATCCCTCTCAGGTAGCGCCTTCGTGAGGAAGTCAGCATGCTGGTACTGCGACGCTACATGAATGATCTCTACCTCCTTCTCATCTACCAGTTGTCTGAGGAAGTGATGCCGCACGTCGATGTGCTTCGAGTTGGAATTCGAGATCGGGTGTTTTGCGATCTGGATAGCACCCTCGTTATCCTCGTACAGTGGAATGCACGGCCGCAACTCCTTCGGCAATATAAAGCGCCAAACCTGCCTCAAAAAAAGAATCTCCTTCCCCATGTCCGCCATCGCCACGTACTCTGCCTGCGTGGTGGACAAAGTCACACACTTCTGAGTCTTGGAAAACCATGCTATCGCTCCCCCCGCACACATTACTACTCCCCCTGAAACCGACCTACGATCCGCCGCACGCGAGGCGTAATCCGCGTCGACGAACGTGATCAAAGAAAACCCTGAAATTGTCCCCTTCTGAAAAGAAATCCCGAAAGAACTAGCCCTAACTGCATATCCTAAGATGCCAAGTGCAGCCTTCCAGTGGATCAACTTGGGTGCACTACAGTACCTCGCTACTGCCCTCACCGCATTCGCGATATCCGGCCTAGTCAACAAAGCTATCCATAGCAACGAACCAATCAGCGCGCGAAATGGGTGCTCTACGCTCGGCTCATTCACATCAAAGTCCCAAAGTCTCCAAGTCGTGGGCAAAGGAATGCTTCCGCCCCACTCCACACCATATCTCTCTCCCAACTCCTTGGTGTATGTCTCCTGCGAAATCGTCAATCTACCTGCCTCTCTGTCCCTCTCGTAATAGCAACCAGAGTACCACTGCAACTCCCCCAGAGACTTCACCGGTACGTAATCGCCCAGGTCCTTCCCAAATTGATCACACCTCTCCTTCGTCCCCACTGCAAAAATATCATCTACGTGTACTACTAGAATCAACACTACTTCCCCCCCTTCGACTAAGCGAAAAACACATGAATCGGCCATGCACTGCTCGAAACCCAAAGCCAAAAGACACTTCTTCAGCAACGCGTACCACTCCCTAGATGCCTGCCTCAAACCGTAAAGGCTCTTGTTCAACTGCACAATCTTCCCCGACAACGCACCACATCCTTCCGGCAATCGCATGAAAATGTCTTCCTTGAGAAGGGGCC